TCTAAGCATGTAAGAACAGTACCGAAATTAGCTAAACAGAATAAATTTGTTGCTGAGATAAACATCTTCTGATTTTTGAGAAGTATATTTAAGGTTTATCAAAAATCATTCAGTCTGTTGGCTACTGTTATTATCTGCTTTCATGACTCTATCCAAGTTCAACTTATAGCATCTGATTCCTGAACTGTTCCTGTGTTTGTGTACATCATACGGGCAGAATCTATTCTTAGAGGCCAATCAGTTGAGATATCTAGCACTACCAACAATATTGTTGATAAAATTGTTACACTCCAATAGGTATATCCTCTCTGTGTTCTGTAGTTCACAGTCAGATCACAGAAGTATTCTTTTCATTATGTAATTACATTAATTTTCAGTTATAGCTACTCTATTCTAAATACACAGTGTGTCTCTTTATAAATTTTGCACAGTTTCCTTCAGTTGTAATTTAGAATGGCTTATTTGAGCAATCTGCATGCAATTGTACACTTGGATACCATGTGGCATTTAATTTCCAAATTTGAGCTTTGGTGTTTAGATGATCTCAATGTCTGGCATAATTGTTCACTCTGTTCCCAAGTGTGCTAGTATAAATCTGGAATCAGCTTTAATACTTAGTTTATTCAAGTTGTATTCTCACTTGCTGGCTAGATAATAAAGTTGTGAAGAGTAACATCATGAGTGTTTGTGGAAGTTTGTTGTATTTTCAGTTGGAGTTCATAAAGCCATGTGTTTTTATAACCAGAATTATGGACAGAGTTCTGACTTATAGTGCCTTTCCCCATGCATCTTAGAGCATACTATTATCCATTCCCATCTGTAGACAGTTTTTCTGTTATTCTGACATTGTGAATAGGTTAGGACACCTGAACAGTAAACTCAGTTTTCAGCATGTTTGTTTTTTAGTGATAGCTGTTTGAGCATACTATCACTCTGAATGTTTTTAAATCTTGTTGTGATAGACTTTACGTTGTTAATGTAAATCTTTTATGGCTTTGGCCAATTTTCTTATAAGAGCTGTTGCTCTTGACTGCTGAGATCAGCTGGCTGATCTCTCTTAATGGCACTTAGATTTGAATTTTGTGGGTTAGGAGGCACAACTGTTAGGAGCTGGTCTGTTTACTGCAAGACGGCTTTAAATGCAAACCTAAAAAAATGAGCCACCTTGTAAAAAGAAAGTCATAGTCTTTTGAGTTCTCTCCCCTTCTTATTTTGAACCAGTTGAAGTTTTTAACTCTCCATAGGGCCTGGTAATTTAAGACGGAGGAAACTAAATACAAACTTCACATTTTCATTTCAATTTAAATTCTGAGATTTCTTGATTTCTCTGGAGCCAGAGTGTTTTAAGGGTTGTCATGAGCAGATTATGACTGGAGGGGAAGAGTGCCGCCTCTTGGTCTTGAGTGACAACCTCTGCCCTCTGCCCCTAGCTGATAACTCAAAGCATTGTTGAATAGCTCTAAAATGAGCTGAGTCCAAGACTTCAACCAGATGGTCAATATAGGGCTTTTAAAGGAAGAGAAATGGTAAAAAAGTAATCTCAGAGGAGCTCTCTTATGTTAAAGAACTGAGAGAATGAAGTCTTTCTGAAGCTAAGTGTAAATTACACCACCTTCTTTGGGAGCAAAAGCTGCTAAATGTAACAGAAGAAAATGACAGTGTAGGAAATCAAAGTTCAGGAACAAACCTTCAAGTGTGTAATTCCTCTCTTACTCCCCTCTCAGGATCCATTGCTCCCATTCCTCCTCCTCCTTCAAAATTCATTTGAAAGGAATTTTGATGGGTAGTGGCTACAGAAGGCAACTTTAGGCAGAGCATAAATTAGGACATAAGATGCCCTTTGTACCAGAATTATCTTAGACATGCTTTTGAAAATACACTTTTTTAAAGCCTTATTAATAATCAAAGGTATATTTTTAAAAATCTTTTGAGTTTAGTCTGCCTTCCGTAAAAATAAGGCATAGGTACCAAAATAAGCAAACCTTTTCTTCACTTTCCTGGTTTCTGCTTATAAGATTTACAGGTATTTAAAATAAACCCATGGAAAACAGAAATTGTGTCTTGGGATTGGCTAAATACAGCAATTACCTCCAGGCTCCAAAACCCAACTGAGCTTGACGTTTGGAAATAAATTTGGCAAAGACTTCTTCCTCATTTTGTTGTATAAAGGTGTACATGAAATGATACTGACCTCTGCCAGAAACCCCAGGAATCCTATTCAGTGATGTACTTGTAACAGTCGTGAAAGAATTAAAACAACACAGATGTGGATTAATGTGAAAAAGTAGGCAAAACACTAAATTCTCATTGTGTGGTTTCAGTGTGGCAGATCCTTTAAAATACTTTGGTGTACCACATAATTAAAGGTTTAAGAACATTCAGTGTAGATACATAGAAAATAAAAGCCCACAGCTGAATAACAAGAATGAACTATGTTTTATTTTTCTAAATTGGAATTAATGTAGGTTGCCATGGTGAAAATAGGTTGAAATATTTAACAGTAACTGTTTTGTGCAGCCCTAGAGATCAAAAACAGCAATGTAAATAAGAAGGACTCTTAAAGAATCATACTCACAGACATGTTTAATGTAAATGATTGCTAGAAGGGAAGTGCATTTTCTTCAATGCTATGCAAAGAAGTTTTAATTGACTTGATTTTGGCAGTGAGAATCATACAATTTAGCATTAATAACTCAAGTTTAAAAATATTTGCTCATTGCTCTGGATTATGAATATTAGGTTTAAGAAATACTATGTTCAAACACTAATCATTTTAAATAAACTTTTTTTTACACATTTATGACATCAGTGAGTATGACTGTTTATTACATTTTACCTATAAAAGCTGAACTGTTTTATATATTCTTTATAGAAACAGTGCACAGTCATAAATTAAAAGATGCAACTGTTCTGGATATTTTCCTGGTGGTCCTGTGTTTTCCTGCCAGCAGGGCAGCTGTTTCAGGTTTCTCAGGATAATATAGAAAAAGTTGTGTGCACACTGCAAGTTTATGCTTGAATTGCCAAGCCGGAGATGGTATGACTCAACTTTCCCAGAAGCAAGTTGTACCAAAATGTGATGAATCAAAACAGCTAGTTGCACTGTGGTTTGTATTACAGCTATGAAAACCAATTCTTATTTACGATAGTTGACTTCTTAAGGTTGACAGACATTCTACTGTGGCACTTGGATTTTGCTATGAGTCAGTAGCCATTGGAGTTAAGATTACACTTTTCTTTTGTTAAGATTACACTTTTCTTTTGAGGGTCTGAGGAAGGGGAATAGAGTGATACAATATCATTTCTGGTGTGTGGATAAAAATTAACCAGAACCATTTCCTGCTGAGTCGATTCCAACTCATGGCGACCCCGTATGGCAATGGGGTTTTTTTTTTTTTTTTACTGTATTATATATATAACTGATATATATGTGTGTGTATATATATATATAAACAAAACCAAGTCCATTGCCATTGAGTTGATTCTGACTCATAGCAACCCTATAGGACAAGAGTAGAACTGCCCCATAGAGTTTCCAAGGCTGTAATCCTTTACGGAAGCAGACTGCCACATCTTTCTTCTGCAGAGCAGCTGGTGGGTTCAGACTGCCAACCTTTTGGTTAGCAGCCACTCCTTACATATATAATAGTATATAGTATATAAATACTGTATGTATATAATTTATAAGTACACAAATTTTCGAGATGTATGCACAGACTTTTTTTTCTATTATCAAAAAAGTTGAGATCATTGGTCAATAAATGTTGATTTCTTTTCTCCTTCCGCTTTTCTCTTCACCCTTGGCAGAGAAGCAAAGAATTGAGTTAACGCCTTGATTTGTGGCACTGTGAATAAATTATAGCCAATTACAGGAGCTTAGGCTGTGTCTTACTTTGACCACTTTTTCTATTTGGTCTCTTATATTGCCATATATTTTTTAATCACTCAAGCTTATTAAACATGAATACAAATGAAAAACAGACTTGTTATTATGTTAAAAATAATAAGTTGCTCATGCATCAAGAGCTTGACACACAGGAAGTTCGAATGAATGAATAGAAAAGTTTCCAGGTTATTAAAACGTTGTGGTACCTGATTTATTCATTTGCTGTACTGGTAATTCTAAGGCCAGTGAAGCTCCTTTACTTCCTGAGGCCTGAAGAAACAATGTGGTTTCTTAAACTCAGCATTAAAGCAAAGCTGGAAATATTTGTTTTCCAACAGTGCTGGTAGTCATGCTAACAAGCTGCCCTCACTTTGGCTAGAATTGTCTGATTTTTCAGGCCTTTTTTATCTATCTTTGTCAAGGTAGAAAGTTTTAATTGCTAAAAAGACTGTGTGTTTGTGATTGAAGAAAAATAGTGTCTGTTGCACCGTCTTTTAAGATCATTTTGAGATTCTTTTGTATTTACTATTTGGAACATTATTTTGAACTTAGGCTCAGTCCCAGATATTTCTTGGAGATATAATTTTCTAAGGTTTCTTTTCCTGCAAGGATAGAGATAATATTTTGGGGGGATATTGAAGTAATTTTGAAGCAAGTAGTATGCCCTTTCCCCTCTCCCATTTGTTTTGGTATTTAGTGGTTTGTTTCAAAACATTTATGTAAAAAGAGTATTGTGATATTGTATAATTTACTAAGAGTACGCCAGGGAGGAGAGCAGCAGTTAGGTGCTCAAACAATAGCAAATAAAGCAAATTAGTCCTGAAAGTTGTTAAATAATGAACATTTTAATAGCAAGTATTATTTTTGAAACTTACTTCAAAGCTATGTTTTTAGAACTTAATGTAATTTACTTTATAATTCACTACTAGTTTAGGCTTTCCATGTACACCTGGTATGTTTTCTTTTGAAAGGTGGTAATCCATTTTATAGTCTGAACATTCTGATCTCAGAATTTCTCTTTAAAATTTGAATCAGCTTTACTATTGCTTTTTAAAATGTTACCAATTTTATTCATGCTTTGTATGTCAATGCTATACTTTTTGTTTTGTTTTAGGTATTTAAACCATGTCAGAGCTGCCTCTCCACAGGATCTTGCTGGAGGCTATACTTCTTCTCTTGCTTGTCACAGAGCTCTACAGGATGCATTCAGTGGGCTTTTCTGGCAGCCCAGTTAACCTTTCTTTCCCAGTTTACAAGATTTGGACCTAGAACCAGGAGTTAGCAAAAGTAAAGCAGGCTTGTAAAATTACAGTCATATGCCACTGCACAGCAACAGTACTACCACTAGCAGCTGTATTTGTAAAGAAAAAGTTCAGAACTAAGCTGAGTAATATAGTGGATGCATACTTGTGAAAAAGATTGATATTTTTACTTATATTTTTCTGAGGGATTGAAGCAGTAAGCCTTATCTGGTGGAAGATGTAATTAATTCACCTGTGGATGTTTGAGGTTGACAGACTCGTAAAATCTTTTTTAAAATAAAGCTAGACTTTATATTAAGTTGTGTGGTTTTTCTCTTATTACAGTGTTTTACTTGAACACATTTTAAAATGCCATTTTGATTACAACATTTAGTGTTAATATCCAAGTCTATTATTTCTTCTCATAAAATGTTCCTTTTTTTTTTTTTCCTATGTCTTCTGAATACTAGTCCAGACAAGTGGATATATTTCCTCCTACCAGCAGGTTGTGGCAAGTAAAACCTGACCTGTGATAATGTTACTTTCTCAATATTAAGGACTCAGTGACTCTTTTAAGCAATGGAAAGTGAGGCAAACCTTGATCAAGGTGTTATAATTCCCAGCTGTGAGCTACACTTAGGATAAACCAGAGCAGAGCATTAACCTACTTTAATGACAAATTCAAAGAAGTTAATAAAATTTAATACCTAAATGGCACCTTTCACCTCAAATGTGAGCTCGCTTTATGATGAAACCTTGGAGACTGGAAAAGGTTCCTTTTAAGTGAAATTTCCTTATTCGTAAATTGCAGACTCTGATGTAGTTTTCTGTTGAAACTTCAAAGCCTTTCATTATACCCAGGGTTTTGCTTAACAACTTTGGATGTAGATAGGGTGGATATCTGCAGCATCTCAACCTCAAATGAGTCTGTTACATAGGTCACTAGATATGGGACATAGTTTCTCAAGGAAATTAAGGAATTTCCTGTCAGGTCTTCATTACAACAGATGCTTATGGTTGGAAAGTTATGTGAAACACTATTTGTAGTTCCATTACGGTGGAATATCCATATGTAACAACTCCATTTTATTTTACTAAGCAGATATTTTTAGGTGTACATCTTTGTTTTTACGATACTCCTATCTTTTGATAAATGAGAAAACCAAGGCATCATATAATTTACTAGGCCAAGATCATACATATTAGTTAGTAAAGGAAACCCTGGTGGCATAGTGGTTAAGAGCTACAGCTGCTAACCAAAAGGTCAGCAATTTGAATCCACCAGGCGCTCCTTGGAAACCCTATGGGGCAGTTCTACTCTGTCCTATAGGGTCGCTATGAGTCGGAATCAAGTCGACAGCAACGGGTTAGGGTTTTAAGTAAGTTTGTAAACGCCAGGATTAAACACAGGTTTTTGTTTATTGTTGTAGTTTAAATTAAGTTTACATTTCAGGTTAGTCTCCCATACAAACATTTATACATACATTGTTATGTGACCCTAATTTCTCTCCCCATACTGTGACAGCACACTCCTCCTTTCCACCTGATTCCCCATGTCCATTCAGCCAGCTCCTAACCCTCTCTGCCTTCCCATCTCACCTCTGGACAGAAGCTGCCCGTTTAGTCTCTTGTATCTACTTGAGCTAAGAGGCACGCTCCTCACGAGTATCACTTTATGTCCCACAGCCCAGTCCGATCCCTGTCTGAAGAGTTGTCCTCGGAAATTGTTTTAGTTCTGGGCTGATACGGAATCTGGGGGCCATGCTTTCCAGGGTTAGAACACAGGTTTTTGATCCAAGTCCAGTTCTGTCTACACTGTACCAGGCTGCATTCTATTCATTATATCTATTAGGTATTGCCCAGTTGAGATTAGTATTTCAAGTACGATGTATAAATTTGTTCAAAGAATAGTGACAGTATTGGATTTATGATTAAGACTCTATTGCTTTCAACTGCCAAAGTATCCAGTCTTTAAAAACAAAAAATATTACTTGTTTTCAGTACCTTGTATATTTAAATGGAATAAGCTAATTAATAGGACATTTTGATGTATATTTAATATCAAGACTTGTTTTAAATTGAGCCTATCCTATCATTATGGAAACTGCACACACCTAATTTGGCAAATAAAATTCCACAACCTTTATACATTTGTAAGTATTCTGTACTTATTTTTGCCATACTTTGTTCAATAGGCCGAATTTAGAAGTTAACTGTTCCTGTTAGATCAGATAGAATGGTGACAGATAACCTAGTGATAAGAATTCACTGAATTTTAGGAAATTCACTGAATTTACTAAATAACAGAAATGTTCTAAATTGATATAGTTTTCCCTACTCTCCCAATGATTTCCTCTCTCAGAGAAAATAGGTTATACAAGTCTTTCATCTACATGAATTAATGTAGTTTTCCCAATGTTTTAACATTTGTCAACATTAAAAAAAAAAAAAAAGTTGTCATTGAGTGATTGTGACTCATCGTGACCTCATGTGTTTTCAGAGTAGAACTGTACTGCATAAGGTTTTCAATGACTGTGATGTCTGCAGAGCCCTGGTGGCACAGTGGTTAGGAGCTCGGCTACTAACCAAAAGGTTGGCAGTTTGAATCCATCAGCTGCTCTTTGGAATCCCTATAGGGCAGTTCTACTCTGTCCTATGGGGTCACTATGAGTCGGAATCGACTCAGTGGCAACAGGTTTGGTTTTTTTTTTTTTTGGTGATCTCTTCAGAAGTAGACTGCCAGGCTTTTCTTCTCAGGTATCTCTGGGTGGATTCAAACCACCATTTTGGTTAGTAGCCGAGTGCTTAACCATTTACAACACCCGGGGAACCATTTGACAGCATTAGCACAAAAATAATAGCTAACAACTAAGAAACATTAACTATATGCTAGGCAGTGTGCTTCATGCTTTGTGTATTAACTAATCCTTACAACAGTGCTACTATTACTTTTCCTATTTTAACAGATGGAGATACTGAGGTGTAGAGAGGTTAAGTAACTTGCCAAAGATCAACACAACTTAAAAGTAGTAGAGCTGGGATTTGAACCCAAGCAGTTAGACTCAAGTCCCTGCTCTACAGATAACTGTCAGACTTACAAACAGCTTTGCTATAACCAGGTCTGGGTAATCAAACTTCATAAGACTTGCAGGAAGTTTTAGAGATCAAGTATCTAGTTCTTTTATGGGATATAAGTGACTAAATGATGACTTTGTTGATACCCTTGAGGGAATTTCTGAGAAATTCGTTTATGTAGAAAATGCTTTTACTACTAACTACACTCCCTTTTAAGCAAATATTAATGGTTTTGAATACGTTTACACCATAGTTAGGTTGCATTATTATTTAGTATTCCTTAATATGATCCAATAAACATTTCATCTAAGCTTCTCTTAGAAGCTATCTTTAGGCTGTCAACAGGTGGTCTGATTATCATTTCAAAATCCAATTAAGGTGGCAGAAAACGTATCAAAAAGTTAACAAAATTAAAACACTGCATCTTATGAGATTCCCAGTTGTCATTTTCTAGTGGATATCAGTTACCAAAAATCACATCTAAAAGTTCAGGGTGGGCCTAGATTTAAATAATGAAATAATCACATATTCACTTATCCACTCAGAGGAAAAAAGGGGGAGGGTTTAAACGTTAATAGAAATATTTAAGGATTCTATATTTTCTTTATAATTCTCATGGATTGAATTGTGTTCCCCAAAATATGTGTCCACTTGGCTAGGCCATGATTCCCAGTATTGTGTGGTTGTCTTCCACTTTGTGATCTAATTATCCATTTTGTGATGTTATAAATCCTAACCTCTACATGTTAATAAGGCGGCATCAGTGTGGAATGTATCTTGAGTCATGCACCCTTATAAGAGGTTGTGACTCAAGTCATGCCCTTACTCATCACACCCTTGCTTGAGTTGCACCTTTTATCTTACAAGAGATAAAAGGAGAGAGACGTGAACAGAGATGGGGTAATATGGGTGCCAAGACACATGAAGATCTCCAAGGAACCAGGAAGCAGAAGCTGAAGAGATAAGCACCTTCCTCAAGAGCCAACAGGGAGAGAAAGTCTTCCCTTAGAGCCAACACTCTGAGTTCAGTCTTCTAGCCTCCTAAACTATGAGAAAATAAATTTGTTTGTTAAAGCCATCCACTTGTGGTATTTGTTTTAGCAGCACTAGATAACTAATTATGTACTGCATATTTTGTCTAATTAGGGGGTAACGAAATAGAGACAAGAATCTACCACTTTACATGTACAAATAAGAACATCATTTGTACCCATACTTAATAGTCATATAACCTAGTACATCAGTGAACAGTACTAGGAAAAGGATTTATTCCTACTTGTAAATTAATCCTGTTCACCTAGATCAGGGAAAGGCAGACTACAGCTCTCTGGCCAAATGTGGCCTGCCATCTATTTTGTATGCCCCACAAGCTAAGTTTGGTTTCTATATTTCTTAATGGTTGGAAAAAGCAAAAAGAATACTTCATAACACTTGGAAAGTATATGAAATTCAAGTTTCAGTGTCTATAAATAAAATTTTATTGGACCACATCTACACTCAGTTGTTTATGTATTGTCTGTGGCTGCTTTTGTACTACTGCATCACAGCTGAGAAGTTGCAACAGTGACTTTATGGCCCACAAAGCCTACTGTCTGGCCCTCTGCAGAAAAAGTTTACTAACCCATGACCTCAGGACTCATCATTGAGAGGAAGAGGAGAGAATCAGAAGTGACAAATTGGCAATCCCTCGTTGAACTTCCAAGGCTTTGCAGAGGATAAGGTGGGTTGAGATTCAAAACAATTTGAATTTAAATGCTTTTAAATACCTGCCTGGCTTCTAAAGGTATTTGAGTTTGCAATTTATGATCTAGATCAAAGGTTCTCAAATTTTTCTTCTAAGGCCAGATAGTAAATATTTTAGGCTTTGCAGGCCAAGAGGCAAAATGTAGGATATTATGTAAGTATTAATAGCCTTGAAAAGCCTATGGAGCAGTTCTACTCTGCACACATGGGATCACCATGAGTTGGAATCAACTCAGCAACAGCTAACAACATATATAACAAGGTAAAACAAATCGACATAATTTTTAATTGCCAAAATTTAAACTCTAATAATTGAGTACAAGCTTTTGTAATGTCTTTTTAGGGAATAACATTTCCCTTAATTGGTGTTCCTCTATCATCAAAATCAATTGCAAATGATCATCTGTTAATAGTTATTTGTAATGAGATTTTACATATTTCATCTTTAAAAATGTCTTTTCGCACATATAAGTACTGCCAAAAATAGTATCAAGCCAGGAGCATATTTACCACTTAGAAGGCATTTATAAAATCCGATTAAATTTTTCTTTTGATATTTGACTTTTAGTACATCATAACATAGCATATTAATCACTACCAGTTGAAGATTAGGTAGAATCTCCTTAATTGTAGTTAAGTAGATTTTAAAATATGGAAATTTCCTTTGGACTTGCACGAAGGTCCAAAAAAATACTGACCCAGGAAATACATCCACTGCTTATTTGAGAATAAAAAACTTATTTCAGTTTTTGACAGCATGAGAAATGTATAAAGCAGCGATATTTTGTGATTCAAATGTTGTCTAAATGACTTTACCACAGTATGTCTGACATGTAAGTTCTGTTTTGCCTTGTAACTTTAGGTTGCGTTCTTTAAGAAATACTAAGTCTTCAGCAAAATCTAATTTCCAAAGCCATTCAGTGCTCCAGAATAGTGTTTGAGGGCAGTTCTTTTTTTTTTACTATCTT